TCCCCCCCCCCCCTCTCTAAAAGCTATTGTGCTAAAAAATATTACAATGTTGACTTTATCAATTTAAATCTAAAATTTTGAATTGCTTTATCATTTTTATCAACTATTTATTTCATACATTTATATTTTTGGAAAATTTTAAGCTTTGATTGACAAGGGTACAAACTTAAACAAACATCTTATTGATGGACAAAAAAACTGTTTTCACGTTTTAATGAAAAAAATGTCGTCAGCATAAAGTATGGTTTATAAAATTGATAAACCCTGGCGGGTGATTTTACAATTATAAATATTATTTAATGCCGTAAATTGAAAACTGAAGGAAAACAATTTAACAGGTTACAACCGGAATCAAAATTCACCCATGGTAAACAGCCAGAAATACAAAGGAATTTTGTCGAGAAATTTAGTATTTAAGAAACCCATTAGACTGCATATATATGCTAACATGCTGGCTGATAAAAAAATGGCTACAAAATCTTAAAAAATTCACCCATGGTAAACAGTCAGAAATACGAAGGAATTTTGTCGAGAAATTTAGTATTTAAGAAACCCATTAGACTGCATATATGTCCTAACAAAATGGCTGGCTGATAAAGAAAACGACTGACTGGTTAACAAATGGCTAAAACAGGATGGCTAAAAGCTACTTTCAAAACGGATGACTGTAAAATAAAATGGCGGCTTTGTAAACAAAATGGCTGCCTTGTAAACAAAATGGCTGACTGTAAACAAAATGGCTGCCAGGTAAACAAAATGGCATACTACTTAAAAAAAATTGACCGATTTTCAAACTAAATGGGCATGGCTGACAGTTAAATAAAATGGCTGACTGGTAAACAAAATGGCTGGCTTGCAAACAAAATGGCTGACTTGCAAAAAAAGGCCACAAGGCAAACAAAATGGCCGACTTTAAAAACCAACCTGAAATGATCTTGGATTTCCTCTGAATATCTGTTGCGAGGCGGAGAAAGAAACGAGGCTGAGAAGAAGCGGAGCCCTCCACATCCTAGATCCCACTAATTCAAGGTTATCACTCTCCGTTTCACTTGCAGGTTTCGAAACGATTGACCAGTCGGACAAGGAGCGCCGGCGCTTAGCTCACCAATACAGGGCGCCTGGCGCCTAAACAACTAACAATCGATCTATCAGGTATTAAATGGCTCACTAAGTAGCTGAGTTGCTGAGTATGCCGTCCATCTGTCTGATTTAAGGTATCTATCTATCTATATATCTATAAAGATCTACATATCTTTCTATAGACCTATCAATCTATCTATAGACCTATCTATCTATCTATCTATTTATCTATATATAGATCTATCAATCTATCTATAGACCTATCAATCTATCTATATACATATCTATCTATCTATCTATCTATCTATCTATCTATCTATCTAACTATCTAACTATCTATCTATCTATCTATCTATCTATCTAATAAATAGTCGCAACTATGTTTAATGTTATTGGTTCTCTACGTGTAAGACAAACCCTCTAAAACAGGGGTACTCACAAAGCAAAAGAATACGAAGACGACTGTAAAGAATTTACATTCTTTCGTCTATAAATGTTTTCTTGCATCTGTAAACTTGCTATTTTTTAATTTGGTTTAATCTTCAAAGACTATTTTTCATATATTTAAAGAGTTTTATGTTGTCATCAAAGTTGAATTCCTTGTGGGTATCCATTATTACACTTATTACAATGATATATTTAGGAGTTAAAATTGTCTTTTATTTGAACTATTTAGATAATTAAAGATTTATTTACAATAAAAATGTTTAAATGTATTTACATATTTATAGATAAAGTCGATGTAAAACCGGCTTTTCTATCTATCTATCTATCCAGAACTTTGGTAAAAAAAGGTTGAGGCCCATTTGAAAATCCTACACAAATAACTTTTTTTTTAACAATTGTTAACTTCAAAACTTTCATATCAAGGGAACTGTAATGTACTTTTATAAAAATATTGGGAAGATTTAATGATTTTCAATTCAGGTCGCTTAATAAAGATTTTTTGATGATTTATGCGGCCGAAACAACGAAAAATGTTGTCAGAATTACAGAATTTTCCAAATTTTTAACAAAACGACGATATTTTCCAAATTTTTTTTCTTCTAGAAGTGTAAGATTTCTGAATGGGGGATGCAATTTTACATTCTATTTTCAATAGATTTAATTCATAATATTATTATAAGTCAGTGAGCTAATTTTCATCTTTTCTATTTCAAATAAATAAGAAACTACGTTTTGATGAATTTTAAAGTTTTTTCAAATGCAGCTGAAAGTAACCAACCTCTATCTAAAGTTTAAAATAAACATGTCTAGGACCACAAAAAAGTGTAAATGAGTTTACGAAGTAAAATTAAAAGCTCGACCCAGTTTTAAAAATTTGAGAGTCTGGATGTTGTGTATTGTGTACCATGTTTTAAATATATGTTGAAATAAAAAACAAAACTAAAGGATATCGGTGTAAAGCGAAGCCAAGAATTTAAGATTTCTCCACACTGCACTGCACAGCTTTAAACCTAGGGGTTTAACTAACATCTGTTCTCCTGGGTGTTTAGTAATTTAAACTTCATTGATTTAAAAAAACAAGGTGAACAATCATTTGAATTTAATACAAATATTGTTTCACCTTTATACTTTCAAGTGACACTCCATTTTTTTATGTACCATTCACAACGGTACCCTTTAAACCTTCATATAAAATATAATTTGGAAGAATTTTTCTTTCTCAAAGCGCGTTAAAATATTAATTTTTGACGAAAGAAAAAGAAAGATACATCCTTCATCCTTTATGGGCAAAGATCTGTTGCTAGGAATACCGTGTGAATCGAACTAACTACTTTATAAAAGGAAAATTACTTAAAGGGAGTGAGCCGCAATGTATGGTGGTTGAACTGAGTATGCAGTATTGTAGAGAAATGTTTTTGGATTTATTATTATTATTATTATTTATGTGTCCAATATGTGAAATTAATCAGTTTGAGTGCAAAGTCGACGTTCAAAATTACGAATTTGGGTGGGTTCATTATCAGAATAGGGTTTTTTAAAATTATTAAATAATGACGACAAAAAAGTAAAAATTATACGGTAAACTAATTTGATGTTTAGTAACATATTTATCAAAAGAAATATGTTAATAGATCAATGTTAGAATCAATTATTTCGTTTCCATTAATATATTGAATTTCTTATTTTCTATAAATTTGTTCGCAGATTTCTTAAAATTTCTCAAATTTCGTCTTTTAAATAAAAATTCCAGAAAATCTGCAGAAAATCTTTGTTTATATTGAGAGATTACAGAAACTAATAATTGAATAAGATTACTTATTTTTGATGATAAGAGTCAATTTTTATTTTCTCAACCTGTTCCTAAACAACTAATTAGTTAACTCTAGATTTTTTTTTCTCACATTTTTTGTCGTCGTTATATAATAATTAAAAAAATGATTCTGAAAACATACCCATCCAAATTCATGGTTTGAAAGTCGACTTTTCTCTCAAACTCATTAAATATACGCCGTAGAAACGTTTTGTATGTCTCAAATGTATATTCTAAAAAATTGTCCACAATACTACATATTCAGTTCAACAACCATACATTGCCGGTCAGTCCCTTGAAAAAAAGGTGTACAGTCTCTTTAGATACTGTTACAAAAGCGAATGATGTACAGAAGATTACCAATTACCACCAAGGATAAAAGTGTTTATTTAACTGATTAATAGCAGTGATGTCCTTTATCCCCCCCCCCCTTCCAACAAATCGAAGTGTATATTTTTTTTCAATTCTTTTTTTCGGAGCAATTCGATATTCAACTTTCGAAATTCCGAAATTGGACATTATTGTGCAATGAAACTAAAATGATAAATGCAAGTTTAAATATGCACATTAAAATTTTGAATATATTTTGCATTCGTACAAAATGTATTGCCATTCAACCGTAGTTAGTCTTCTTGAAGTGCTGTTTTCAACCATAGCTAGTCTTCTTGAAGTGCTGTTTTCAACCATAGCTAGTCTTCTTGAAGAACAAAACAAATTTAAATTTCTAATCTTAAACAGGATAAATTAGTATTTTTCATCCGTAAAATTTAAAAACAAAAGGAGCCACCAGGTCACAAAGTTGTACTGGTGACATGGCATAAATTACACCTTCTCCTTCTTTCTAGCCTGCGGTGCAAACTCTATCCCCCCCATCTTGCATCTATTACACCTTGCACTTGAAGAACTGGACTGATTAAAATCCGTACAGTCGTCTCTGAAGTCTCATGCTTGATGGATATATGTCATAATCATCATTATCATCATTATTTGCGGGATTTGAAGATTTTACAGATTTTCGTCCTTCTGAAGGATTTCATATATTACGATAGTAAAATGAAAACTACGCATCATCAGACCCTACTATAGCGTTTACGCGCGCTGACGCAAGAGGCGCCCATATATACGCACTAGATTACGCAATACGTATGGTTATCTTTTATAATAATAGGGGTTGGTTGCATAATTAGGCGTTTATTGAAGCTGACAATAACACATACATCCTCAATATAAACATTTAAATATTTATACTCAACATTTAAATATCATTCTTAAGTGTACACCTGAGATGTTTTTACCCTATCTCCACATTTATAAGAGCTATTGAGAATAAACATAGTTATGAATTAAAACCCAATATTTTCACATCAGGATGTTTTCCTTGAAGATTGGAGGCATTAACAACTACATTTCTTAAATTGAAAACAATTCTAATGATAGAATCGAATTTGATGAAATCTGTAATAAGCAGTATTATTTTGCTGGGAGTTTGTTGAGAGAGTTTCTCGACCTTGACACCGAGATATAGATAGTAGATAGATAGATGGATAGAAAGAAAGAAAGATACATATATATTATATTAGATAACTTGTTGATAGATAGATAGAAGTAAAGATTAGAGAATCTGTGGATAGAAATTTGAATACTGTTTTACATTTTTATAAAGACATACCAGGATACGTGGATACCAGGATACCAGGATACCATTACGTGCAGATACCAGAATACCAGGATACTAGGATACCAGGATACCAGAATGCCTGGATACCAGGATACCAGGATACCAGGATACGTGGATACCAGGATACCATTACGTGCAGATACCAGAATACCAGGATACTAGGATACCAGGATATTAGGATACCAGGATACTAGGATACCAGGATACTAGGATACCAGGATACCAGGATACTAGGATACCAGGATACTAGGATACCAGGATACCAGGATACCAGGATACCAGGATACCAGGATACTAGGATACTAGGATACCAGGATACTAGGATACCAGGATACCAGGATACCAGGATACCAGGATACTAGGATTCTAGGATACCAGGATATTAGGATACCAGGATACTAGGATACTAGGATACCAGGATACTAAAATACCAGTATACTAGGATACCAGGATACTAGGATACCAGGATACTAGGATAACAGGATACTAGGATACCAGGATACCAGGATACCAGGATACAGGATACCAGGATACCAGGATACTAGTATACCAGGATACTAGAATGCCTGGATACCGTAATACCAGGATACCAGAATACTAGGATACCAGGATACCAGGATACCAGAATACCAGGATACCAGGATGCCAGGGTACCATGATACCAGGATGCCAGGGTACCAGGATACCAGAATACTAGGATACCAGGATACCAGGATACCAGGATAACAGGATAACAGAATACCAGGATACCAGGATACCAGGATACCAGGATACCAGGATACTAGTTTACCAGGATACCATGATACCATGATACCATGATACCAGGATACAAGGATACAAGGATATTAGGATACCAGGATACCAGAATACCAGGACACCAGGATACCAGGATACCAGGATACCTGGATACCAGGATACCAGGATACCAGGATACCAGGATACCAGAATACCAGAATACCAGGATACCATGATACCAGGATACCAGGATACTAGGAT